TGAGCCTCAATTTCTGCTGCAACGTTTGGATCAGAATTTGACATATATGGCATGGAGGTGGAGATCCACCCCGCCTCGGATCAACAGTGCCGGCTGCTGCTGCTGGTGTAATGGAATGGGAGATATTTTCTTGGCACACTTTGGGCCTTTTAGTACCAACTGAACATCATTTAAATGCTAAAGTCTACCTAGGTATTGTTGCTGATCATGACCACAGTGTAGCCACCATGGGACAAAGCTCAAATCTTCTCAAACTGGTTTACTGAAAATGACAGTCGTATGTGCAGCCGACAAATCTGCAGCAAGTGTGTGATGCTTTCATGTCAACATTGACCTGAGGAATGTTTCCAGCACCTTGTTCGATCTATGCCACCAAGTAAGGCAGTTCTGAGAGCAAAAGAGGCTCCTACCCAGTACTGTTAAAGTGTGTATATATATATATGGTAAATGGCGTGTATTTGTATAGCGCTTTACTAGTCCCTAAGTGCTTTACACATTCAGTCATCCACCCATTCAAACACTGGTAATGGCAAGCTACATTGTAGCCACAGCCACCCTGGAGCGCACTGACAGAGGCGAGGCTGCCGGACACTGGCGCCACCAGACCCTCTGACCACCACCAGTAGGCAACGGGTGAAGTGTCTTGCCCAAGGACACAACGACCGAGACTGTCCATGCCGGGGCTCGAACCGGCAACCTTACGATTACAAGGCAAACTCCCCATTCTTCATCCACAATCGATATACATCGATACATCGTATTTATGCGTTTACAGTAATGTCTTCAGAGGGTTTAGTGTTGTACACCACGCTTTCCAGTATGCAGAAAACTGCTAAAATATTGATGTTTACTGCTGAAAGTTCTAAAACACAGTTTTTTTTCCAAGTTGTGTACTTTGCTCCACATACTGTAGAAAACAGAGCTGTAGGACAAAAGTGCACAAACACAAAACTAACAGACTGTGGGCAGCGTGTACAGTAAAGCAAAGAAAGAGAGAAACTTTGCATCAATCAAATATTGCCTAAAGTAACATATCTAACCTTGGTTATCGCCCACATCAGCTCGGCCACCTCTACTTAATTGCCAGAGGAAGAGACAAGAGTGCATGAAGATGGTCGTACACTTTCCATCATTGTGCTGAAACGATCTGTCCTTTGGTAAGTGGAGCCGGAGATAAAGAACTGTAAATTCTGACCCTGAAAGTGCAATAAGATAAATCTGAAAGGTCACAAGCTGTGTGAACCTGCGATAGGTGATTTCATAAAGTCATTGCTTGTTGCTGAAATACTAAAGTGATCTTTCTTACTGAGTGTCAGAGTGTTGTCTAAATGCCTCAAAAGTTTAAAATGAAAATATTTCCTTTTGTGGAATAAAAAACAGGACAGTCTTACTGTGGGCAAGTAACAATAAATAAATCAATAAACAAGTAAATAAATAAATAAAACTCTGTTCAATTACTAAATAAAAATGATACAGAAAATAATTTAGCAATCATTAATTAAACAATTGAGTTAAAGAAGATTAAATGAATGCTGTAGATGTAAATTAACAAATTAAAAATAAATATCAAATACATGGTGAATGAAAATGAAGAATACTCTCACAATACTCTCATCAAATAATGCAAAATGCTTGAGATTCACTATAAAACATAATATTCATAATAATATACTCACACTGTTTAAATAAAACTTTAATACTAAACATTATTAAGACATCGAACTGTACTGTGTAAGTATAAAATAATAAGTATCCCAAACCTTACTTACGTGCTTAAATTTATAAATGAATATGTTCAGATATTTTCTACCACGGCTCAAAAGTGCAGTGCTTAATGAATTTATGAGCTCAGGTTTATGCTGCCCCAAATTAATAGCATTGGTAATTGTCAAAATCATTTTTATGTTTCTACAGTGGTTAATTCGCCAGCACATGCAAGCGCTTTATTCCAAATTATGTTTTTAATGCTGATATATTGTTGTTATCCATTCATTTCCATTAGTTTTCAAAAAAAAAACAAGAAAAATAATAAATGACATAATTATTTCTTGATAAAGATGCTAAATTACAGTTATTTACTTATATCTCCAAACAGGAAAAAAAAAGTTTTTTAGTTAAATGTTATACTTGATTACTTTTCCCCAAAATTTGGATATAAAAATGTGACATCAGTTTGTAATTTGCTTGTAAAATAAAGACATAATTTTTAGTTTTAAACAAGGTCTTGGAAGATTTTTTAAATATTTGTGTTTTCTTGTTTGTGTGACACCTGGTCTAATAAATAATACGTTAAGCACTGTAACTGTCATCCTGAAGATTACACCTATGGATAACACATAGAGATCGACAACCACTGGCACTAAAGTTCAAACCTACAGGCAATTTAGAGTCGCCAAGTAACCGAACCCCACTAACTGCATGAATCTGGACTTTGGGAGGAAGCCGGAGAAGCCAGAGAGACACAAACATGGGGAGAACATGTAAACTCCACACTCTAGATGGTGGATTCAAACACAGGACCCTCTTGCTGTGAGGCAACAGTGCTAACCTGCACATCTGTTGTGCCTGGCTAATGATTGTCTCCCTATTTCAGTGGTGTAAATGGCTGGAGACATTTTTCCAAGCAGCTTCACACATTGAAAACTGACTGGGAAAAGCCAAAGCGAGTAGAGAACAGAGAGCGTCCCCCGAGCTGGGCTCAGCAGCAGGATGGCTGTCTTAAAAATGTTACATGTGGACAGATGTAAACAAAAGCAGTTTGAGGTTTTCTGTGCTGAAGCCACGAGTTGTTGAGTCTTACACCACAGCTGCTGTTTCACATTTTACTGTAGGGTGCAGCATTTGCTTTTAGAGAAACTAACAAGTGCATAAGTGTCTCACTTTGGTCACACCCACTGATCTAAGTCACTCCATTACTATTCTCTTATTGATTATTATTCCTCTTTTCTCTTTTTATTTGATCACTTACATATTTCGTTTTTACTGTAGTTTGGTCTCTTGAGTGTAATTTATCATTTTGGCACAGACTACATTCGATATATGTGTAAATACAAATGTTGCACTTCATTCCTAATCATTTTCTTCTGTTTTTGTCCCTTGTGAGATGACTTTTCATAATCTTCTATTAGTTTATTAATGTTGTTTTGAGTGAGGCTTTGAGGTAGCCAAATATCCTTTTATTGCAACCACGGGAGTCAGTTTAATTCTCTGCAATGAAGAGCTAATTTGGTTTAAAGCACATATCACAAAGGGATTAAATGATTTAAGGGGCTACAGTTCCACAGGAGGTTGTAGTGCAGAGGTTGAACATTTCCAGTGTGCCTGCAGACTACATGTCTACTCTGTATTCTCTGTTGCAAAACTGTGAAATATTTTTGCTTTAAACACAGTTCCTCTTTTAAATATGAATGTTAAACCCACCCTTGGGTGTTACTTTTGCTCCCTCTCCCTGTAAAAGACTGTAACTTCTGTATGTATAGTGATACAGCATACAATGAGTATCCAGAAGCATCAACATGGTGGATCCTAGCAAATGAACTTCAATAGCAGAGCAATGGAGCATTTTCTAATCAGGACCTCTGGATGCCTTCAGTATAACCTATATATGCTTCAGTGCAGAAAAGACTGTTCTGTTTATTTGGACAAGTTTCCCTAAGGGAGTATCCTTAATCCAGCTGTCATTTAAATATATTGGGAATGGCATGCTAACTTTTAAACACATGATGTGATAGGGAAGCTTATTAGCTCCTGAAAAGCTGCCAGTTTGGAGGTCATCACCCAGCATTGACTATAAGACATTTGTCACAGTTTACACTGAAAATCAAAGTCATCTCGTGTCTTCTGAAAAAAAGGAACAGTCATTCAAATTATTGGTAACTATCTGAATCTTTTTTTTTTTAAATCACTCGTTGATATTTTTATATGTGCCTTTGTCACAGTTATATATTGTGGGAACTCCTAATACAGATTATGATGTTATATATGTTGGATGCTGGAGCAATAAATCAGACACGTTCGAGACTTTTATGGAGGACAAGACTGTAGCTGCTGTTGAAGATGTGCAGTTGGACATTTTAACGTCAGTCGTCACTGACTCGTTTTTTTTGAGCCAGCCTCAAGTGGTCATTAGAGGTACTGCAGCTTTTGGCTCTCACCTTCACAGCTGAGTTTCCATCTCCAGCTTTCTGTCCATTTTGTTTGAATAAATTAAGACTTTATTCGTTTAAAAGTTTTAAGGGTCCTGATTTGTGAATTTTTGTGACACAGCCAGGCTCTGCCTGTTTCCAAGGTTTGTGATTAGCTTTTTTTTAACCTTCAAAAGAAAGAAAACTCAGAAGAAAAAAATTCAAGAGTTTACTCCAGACTCCTTGGCAGGGCTTTGAAGCTGCAGCTACCCTTAGATTATTAAATAGGATTTTTTTAAAAAAAAGTTTTATATATAAAAGAGGAGGAACTTGGACCCATGACTTTATTATTTCTGAAAGCTCAACCTCAGCCCTGATTGTCCAAGACTAGTTTTGTTTAGAGGGCTTGTTCCATCAGCTGCAGGATCTCTGCCCTCCACATGAACTCCAACTACCTAAAAAGGGGCCAAACCTGGAAAACCACTTTCTCTTCAGCAGTCAATATAGCATCTATCACTCACCCAAGATTTCTGCTTTGCAAAAAATAAAAGATCCACACAAACAAGGCAGCCTTGATAAACAGCTTACAGCATGTAACAATCTTCGTTATTCATTTTTAGTGTTTTTTTTATATGACTGTAGAAACCTTCCAGCATAACAAGGCTTTTTGACCTCTGACCTCCAATAAAGGGTTGCAGGGCATCTCAACCACTATCGACGTATTGCATTTACTGCAGACCGCGTGGGTCGCAGTAAAGGCCAAGTATCACGGAGTTGTTGGTCACATCTCAACTGCTGGATGAATTGTAATGAAGCGTAAACATTCGTGATCTCCGGCTGGTGATTCTCTCTCTTTTCCTCCAGCGCCGCCCTGTGTGTTTTGGATTAAAATGTCTCTCAGCTGTTCACCGGATTGCATTAAAATCTGCTTCTGACATTCGTGGATGAAAAATTTTAGCAACTTTGACAAGCGCCTGGAGAAAGCGTACCTTAATTTGAAGTGTTTCAGCTCTTTACTTGCCCACAGCGCACATTCAGCCGCCTCCTGCCTCTCATCTGATTAGTGGTCTGTATGTGTCGGGGAACACTGAAGTTGGCTCGGTAATAAGCATTATAAGGCGGTCTGCCGGAGCCCAGTCTGGCTGTGGGAGGGGTCTGCCAAACCTTTCCCTCTAATTGACCAGGGAGCAGAATCAGTCGGGGGAAGCGAGCGGCCACAGACGGAGAGAGAGGTACTCAGCAGACCGCATGTTGGTGCTTAATAGCGTATAATTGGAACACATTACCTGGAATTAGATTTATTAGGCGTCGCATGGTTACTAAGTGTTTTGGAAAAGCGATTTGAAAGCCAGAAAAAAGCAAAAGCTTAAGTGTTGGTAAGCAGTGTAGCTATTTTATTGCCTGTAATTTTACTGTCTGACGCTGAATTATTCTTTAGACTTCCTTCGCTACACTTTAAAATGCGTGCATGCCCACGGGTGAGAGAAGCGCAGCCTATAGATTTTCCTTGTAAATAATGAAACTTCAGCGAGTTTAAACATCTTACTGTTTTCTTTTGCGTGTGCGTGTGTGTTTCACTTCCACAGACGGACGCATGGGCTCGATAAAACGGGAAACCCAGCCCATGCCCAAATGGCTGATCTGGAACTGTTTTACTTTGATCAGCCGGATCCCAGAGACGTCTCCCTGGTTTTAGATGAAGAAAGTATCGGCGACAGCGGTGAAAAGTCACTTCATCCCGGCGGAGGAGAGTGTTCAGCACCATGGACAGAGATCAGGGGAGCTCCGCGTCCGGAGGAGGAAACGGAAACATCTTTTACTTGCAAACACCAACATGATGAAGATGCTGATGATGTCCAGCTGATAGGTGCGAGTCCAGAAACCTGCAGACTGAGTCGGCGATCCTCGAGTGAACTGTACGAGGAGGAGGAGGTAATGGAGGAAGCGGAGGAGGACATCCCGGAACTTTACTTGCTGTCCGACGACGACCTCTCCTCTGAGGACTCGGGGAAGTCTGTGGATTACGGCTTCATCATCGCCGTGACTTGTCTGGTAACTGGCATCTCCCTGGTCGCCATAGCTTACACGGTCCCCAGGGACGTCCGGGTGGACCCGGACACTGTGACCGCCCGGGAGATGGAGCGTCTAGAGAGGGAGAAAGCCAGAGTGGGAGCCCATCTGGACCGGTGTGTCATAGCGGGACTGTGTCTGCTCACCCTCGGGGGCGTGCTGCTGTCCACGCTGCTCATGATCTCCATGTGGAAAGGGGAGATGATGAGGAGGAAAGCCTTCGCCTATTCCAAACACGCAGCAAAGTTGTACGGATCCATCAGTTTGAGAGCTGGCTCCAGCCCCACTCGGGAATCCTGCTCGCATTTGTCAGTGGCTGACGAGGATTTAGAAGTGCTCAGCTGAAATTATGGACAGGACAAGCGGAAAAGACTCAGAAAGTGCTTAGAAAATCCTGTCAGAGCTGTCCTATAATCGGCAGGTTTAATGCCTTTTTCATTTCTAACAGCTAATGCTAGTATTTTGGTTAATAGATAGACTTCTTTTGAAAGGATAGGCTTGCATTTTTTCACGTCTGTTGTAATACAGTCCTCGCATATGGGAGTTATTGGTTGCTGTTATTGTCCCTTCAGCTCATCCAATCTCAGTACAGATGATAGGGGCCACAATCCACAATCCTCTTTCTGGGTAGATGCAGAAATATATATATATATATATAAATAAGGCTAAATATAGTAGTTTGATTTGGATGAATACAGCCCAAAAGAACAGAGCTATTGAAGAACTCACAGGGCTATTTGATAGCAGTAAGTTGCTTTAGGTACGGTGAAGCATGAAATACAGTCAGGAAGCCCAGGCTGTGCAACAGATGCACTGAATGTGCCAAAACCAAAACACTGCACAGCAGGTTTCTAAAACACTGAAAGCTGGAAAGCTATAATGGTGGCTATCATTTTCTCATTTGTGTTTTCAGTTGTGCAGGAAATACCAAAAAATAAATAAGTGGTCACATCACAAGTGAGCATTCGATTTAATGAAATGGGCCTCCTCAGTTTTCTTGAACGCCTCTGTGAGCACTAATATGTTACCCCAGTCAAAACAAGCATCACTCTTTGTGTTTTTATCCATCCGCTGAAGCGAAAACACAATGAGGGAAACTTGATTTTTGTTATGGTCAGTTTAGACTGCTGAAGCCTGATGTCAGCTTCCATTACTCATGTGTGAAAAGGGATTGTGGTTTTAGTCCACCATCACTCAGATTAGGAACAGTTACAGCAAACAAAGACATGTTTTCGTGCACCCACTATGTGTGCATGCTAGTGTTGTGTTAAGATAGACTTGAGCAAATGTCAATCTATTCTTTGGGTATGTATAGACGGTGATGTGCCATATAAACACCGAGACTTCTGAGGCTAAAACCACGATGTATTCTTTCCTGAAATAAATATTTTGTTTACATTGGAGGTACCGTAGGTGGTTTTCCTTGTGAGGATCTCTGACCTAACTTGTTGTTTACCACTGCATCCGCTGCTGCTAATGATGCTGCAACTTCAGGAAACACTTTAAATGCCAGCACATACTTGTGTGTTGAAAGGCCTGTATGCTGTAGCTGCAAACCTGAACCAGGAGTGGTGTCGTGCTGTAAAGATCTGTAGCCTTCAGTTTCCACCTTGTCAGCAACAGAACCCTGCTGAATTACAACTAACAAAGCCGTGCAGAGCAGGCTTAGAAAAATAACAATAGCATGAGTCCATGTTGGAAATTCTGTTTGACATAAATGTGGCTTGGTGAAGCGATGCTTGTATTTGCTCAGATTTGTTGAGACGCAAATAGTAATACCACAGGAGGTGTAATTAGATTTTGTGGTTGAGCACCGATGTCGGGGAAGCTCAGTGTACGCCGGATACACTTGGGGGTTTTGACTGCAGATGTTCAAATGCTGACAGAAAAAGACAGAAAGAGAATCAACAAACCCCTGGGGAAAAGCTCTCCTGGTAATTGGAGTTACTTAATTGCTCATGGGAGGCATGTGAATCAGTGAAAAATAAAACAACCCCAGAGCATTTCAACAGCTATCTCAATCAAGCCGCTTATCAAAAGAACCAAACCATTCCAGCTGCAATATTAGAGTGAAATGTCACATTGCATTGAAAGGGGAGGAAGCGAAGAATCGCCCGCTCTCACAAAAGAAGCTGCGAACAAACAGTTTTATCCCCTGCTTGGGGTGTGCAGACATGTGTGCTGTGCAATAATTGGAAGTGCTTATGGCTGGCAGGATTACATTATCCTCCACATGACCTTCTTTCTCTCACCTCGTTAATGTAATTAAATAGGTGCAATCCGCTGACCTGTGTATGAAATATTAAGTCGATTTCTGATGCTAATCTGTCCTTATTTAATGTAGCATCCCGAGGAGTAGTTGGGTACCCGTTGGGTGACGCTTTCTTGAATTTAGGAGGGAGAGAAATGCTTTTCTTAGATGCTTTTATTTTGGGATGAAGTGTTGAGAATCTCTTACTTTTCCCAAGATTCTCTTGTCTGCAGCAGCTGACTATTTCTCACGTTTTCCGCAGATTGCCTTTTTCCATAGCTTTCATAGAACAGCTGTGAGCTTGTTGCATTAAATGTGTGGGAGAGAGTGGTATTGCATAGTAAGAGAGTCAGTATTCACAGTAGTGGAAACATGAAAGTCAGACTCCTAAATCAACGCAACCTGCAAAGCACTCAGCCCTATTGGGGCTGGCGTCTGCAGAGATATTAGTCTTTCCAGCCCTTGTTCATTAGAAATTCTCCCAGTTGGTATACTTATTTTGAGATTTGTCTACGAGCATGCAGAAAATGTCTAATTTTAACATCAAATTATCTATGTATATGGGAATTAGAGACAATAAAATGTCCCACCAGTAATAAAGTTATGTTTTTTTCCAGCTTTAAGTAGCTTTGAGTTATTTTTTTTCTTCCTTTAAAGTATTTGAAAACCTGGTAATAGAAGGTCCACATTAGTCATAGTTTATTTAATTCCACTGCCTCCAAGGCCAAGAATAAAGACTCGTGCTTACCTTTAAAAAGTCTTTAATACACTGAGTAATATTTGTGACTCCAAGTGCAACAAAAACAGTCAAATTCATTGTTAATGGAAACCCACAAACTATTCATAAATCCATGAAAGGTTGTGTCATTTCCAGCATGTCTGCATTTCCGGAGAAAGACATAATTATAGTCGTTCAGCTAAATTCCACTCCTGGTCATCCACACCCACCTTCACAATTAACTGCTTCCATGAAAAAACTAATTTGTGTAATGCAATGATGACATGCAAACGTTCAACACTTGGTGAACACTTCTGTACAGCTGCGTGGACGTGGTTTGATCAGGGTGTGACTGCCGTTGGCGTTTTCTAGATAACAATCTAGTGATTTTTAAGGATTTCATGACATTGTAGAGGCGTTTATAAGGTTATGATATGTTCAGTCAAGCAAAGACAATTATTTCACAACCCAGAGTTTACCTGATCGTCTGTTGTATTAGGCGTTCACCACAGAGCATTATGCTAATTTGTTTTGTTCTTGCAGCCACTTATTGACCTCCATATGCATCCATGTGAACTTGCATAAGTTCACGTGTTTACGTAACTGTCCCAAATGAAAGCTTTGTTTCATGTTTGAGCTGTTGTGAGCAGTCCAGGCTAACTTACAGCCAAATAACATCCAAATAAATGCCAAAAACTGCAGTTCCTCTAACGGCCACTTGAAGCTGGCTCAATTCAGTCAATCAGAATAGACTCCCATATTAAAATGTCTCAATTTGGCGCTGCTTGAGTTGGTGAACCTTATGTTGAAGGGCCGCAGGGGCTTGGGTGCAAGTGTCACCTACTTTGTTCTGGTGAAGGCAAAGAATATTTTTTTGATGGATGCGGACATCTTTATTTACAGTCTCTGTGGAAAATGTGCATGGCTTTGTTTTGGAAGGCTGGCAATAAGAGAGGATTTTTTTTTTTTAATGCAGCAACCCCCAACTGACTTTGATCTATTTCGTTCTTTCTTGGGGGGGAATAGGGGAAGGAAGATGGGTTACTCTTCACCAGACCTTTCCAGTGAAACTTTCTTTTAACTGTCAAAACTTTCAAGCAGACAAGTCTAACCTGAGGTGATGGAAGCTGATCGGTTTGATGTGGGTGTGGGGTCAGCCAGCTTATTTTACACGGCATTTATAGCAAATTACTCTTACGTTGGATAATGAATCATTTTAATCAACAGATAAATCTCTAAATATTTGTTAACTATGATGCAAGCTGCACTTGTGAATTCGTATTGGCGTTTTTATTTTTCCAGCTCATTTCAAGCCATCAAGAAAGGCTGAGAGAAACACAAATACAGACGTCTCTCGTGTGAAATAACCGCTCTGGTTTTAACTCAGGCTCATAAGAAATTACAGCCTGCTCATGTTGAAGGTGTGCACGAGAAGGGTTAAAGCGCCTTGTTTCTTCCACAGGCACATTACTACTGATGTAAAGGAGCTGGGACACTGCAACAGCTTTAATTGGTGTCTGTGTTTGTTTGTTTATTTATTTATTTCTCTCGCTCTCTTTTTTTTTTGCCAGGGGACTCTCCAGACACAAAATCAAACCTGCAATAAAAAAAGCAAACAAAAAAATCACACATATTCACACACACACTGGAAAGGATCCCACAAACACCACCAGTAGCTGGGCTTGTGTGTAAAACGTACACCCCTAAGGACTTCCCAGCAGATGGACGGACAAACACTCTCATGCAGTGCATGCACATTCATGCACGTACATTCATAGCCCCTGGTCCTCGTCCCCCTATTTTTCATGAATGGAGTTAGTCAGAGTAATCATTCAGGGCAGCTGGCAGCAGGAAATGGAATTGGATTGCTGAGGAGGTCACTCGGGGTCAAGAGCTTGGGCGTGGCTGTTGGACACTGGGGATCAGGAGGAAGGAAAGCCTTTGTGGCTGTGCTTTACATCAGCGTCTGGCAGTCACTTATCATCAGCTGTCACAACCACTCATCTCACTGAGTGACAGAGCACCGACTGCACTGGCAGGAAATCTCGCTGGACATCACACAGTCTCACCTACTTTGTTCTGCTGATGTGATAAATTACGAGTAAGATCATGTCTCCTGGTCTGAAATGCTTCTCTTGAACTATTGCCTTAACTTAATGACTTATTCAATAATGATTCTCGTTACTCCCATTGTTGCATAGCAACGGCAGGCAGCCTCAGTCGCAGCTCAGAGAGTGAAGAAGGGACAAAGGAGGAAATTCTTTAAAAAAAAGGAGTAAAAATAACAAGTTGGAAATAAAATCAGCGTCCACGTCATTTATATGCTTTATTCAGTCAACTCAGAGGCTTTAAAAACCAAATCCTGCACAAACTGACAGCCTCCTCTTTCAAGCTGTCTTTCAGGAGGTTTTCAGAGCTGAAAGCCATCGAGGCGGATATATACCTGTAGGCTGCATCTTAACTTGAATTCTGCGGGGACGCAGGGAAGCGTCAGCTATCTGCACGTATTTACTGATCAGTTTCACTTTAAAGGCTGAATCAGCTTTCTTTCAACTTGCTGCAACTCTTTTACTCGTGTTTCATCTCGACCAAAATTTTGAACCAATTAAATATTCTGAAGCATTGTGTGTGCTACTTTTTGTTGCTTCCCAGCCACAAGGGGTCACCGCAAGAGGATTTGCCAGACATTTTTGCTGGGTGCCCTTCCCCATGCAACCCCAAATGGGATTAAAATATTCTATAAAGTATTACATAACTTTAAATTCATACCAGGTTTTTCTTTAGGTTATTGCTAAAAAATGAGAAGAAACAACTTAAGTAAGCATAGCTGTTGCTACAACTAGCGTTTTTAGGTAGACTACACTGGCAAGTTAGGTGGCAATAAGGCAGCAACTTGCTTGCTACAAGGAAAAAAAAATCAGTGGTTTCCCGGTGATTGCACTGATTTTTTTGCATTCTGTCAGGAAATTGGACAACATGCACAGT